ACTACTTTCTTATCTAGCCTATGTTTCCCTTACATTCCAGATTCTCTGACAAGCATTTTAAGTTATAAATCCATCTCAGCTTCTCTCTCCTCTGAATTACTTGTCAGGATCTCATTACCCTGCCAAACTAATTTAAATCCACCCAACATTGTCAGCAAACATCCCCATGAGGATGTTGGTCATTTTCCTGTTAAAAGATAAGCCATCCAGTCAGCACAGGTCCCATCACCCCAAGAAATAGTCCTAATGCATCATGAATTTAAAGTCGCATCCTGTCCCAACTCTCCAGACATGCATTAGTTTATGCTGTCCTTCTATTCCTGTACTCCTTATTGTGTGGCACCAGGAGTAATTCAAAAATTCTTATCTTTGAAGACCTGCTTTTCATTTCCTACTCAATTCCCTAAAGTCAACTTGCAGGATCTATTTCCTCTTTCTTCCGAGGTTATTGATCCTACACGAACTCTGGCTGCACACCCTCCCCTTCAGAATATCCTGCAGATAGTCCATGACCTCCCTGACTTTGGCACCTGCAAGGCAACATACCAGCTTGGAGTAATGTCTACAGTTGCAGAAGCGTTTGACTCTTCCCCACATTAATAACTCCCTTAGTATTGTCCTTTCACACTTCTTCTTGCCCTGACCACACACTGTCATAGCCTTAGCTCTGACTGACCTCCACTGTTTTTCAAGGCCAAAAATGATTTGCAAGCAAGATGCACTCAGGCGATTTCCTCACTAGCCGTTTAGTCCCCTTCTTCTGGCTGGTGACCATCCATTCCCTCTCTAACAGCACTTTCTTAAGCTGCAGGGTGACCACATCCTAAAATGTGCTATCCACAAATCTCTCAGCTTCATGAATGCTCTGTAGTGACCGCTGGTGCCGCTCAAGCTCCACAGTCTTGAACCCATGTTGCTTTGAAGAATTTCAAAGACTGACCAGTCTGTGAGAGAAGAATTTCCTCCTCATGTCCATCATAAATGGGAGATTTCTTAACATTTTATCTGAGTTCTCTAGAATTAGATATTAGAAATATCCTTTTGTCATCTATCCTGTGAAGCCCCTCCCCTCAGAATTTTGTGTTTCAATAAGATCACCTATCATTTTCTTCTAAGGTCCAATGAGCATAGACCCAACTTGCCAAACTGATTTTCAGAAGCCACCCTTTGACCCCAGGAATAAGTCATGCAAACTTTTTTCTAATCTACCTCTAATGCAAGCATATCCTTCCTTAAATAAGGAGGCCAAAAACTGCACACCAGTACTCAAGATTTCAGCAACGTCCTTTATAGTTGTAGCAAGATTTTCCTGCTGTTTTACTCCATCTTCTTACCATAAAAGCCTACATTCCACTGGCCTTCCTAATTACTTGCAATTTATCTACACGGTAACTTTTTGTGATATATAGAATATATAGAAGACACCCAGACAGGGAAGGTCTGGCAGAATTGTACTGGACTAATAATGCAAAGGGCGAGGCTCAATGCTTTTTGGATGTGGGTTCAAATCTCATTACAACAGCTGGTGGAATTTGAATTCAATTTATAAATCTGGAATATAAAGCTAGTTTCAGTATTAGTGAAACCTTTGTCAATTGTTGTATTAATACATCTGATTCATGAATGTCCTTTATGGAAAGAAATCTGCCATCCTCACTCACTCTGACTTGCATTTGATTCCATAGCCACAACAATTCTGAATTGCCTGTAGCAAGCCACTCACTTCAAGGACAATAAAAGATGGACAACGATGATTTTGCCAGTGATGCCAACATCTCATGAATGAATACCACAGCACTCTGCAATCTCTTTATTCTTCCTGCCAAAGTGGACAATGCCATATTTTTCAACATTATAACCTAACTTGAAAATTTTGTTCACTTACTTAACCTACTTATATTATTTTGCAGACCTAGTATCCTCCTCAAAATTTGCTTTCCTATGGACCTTTAAATCGCCAGCTACAGTTCTCTCAATTTTTTCATCCAATTCATTAATATGAATCGTACATAGTTGATGGCTCTGTCATTCTACTTATTACAGTTTGCTGTAAAAAGAGATATGTTAATCCTTATTCCCATCAGTTTTCTTAACACATTTTCTCCAGTGATAGTGATTACTTTAATTTCCTCCCTTCCTTTTCCCTCCTTTTCTATTGTAATCTTGGGACACTTCTAGTGTCTTCTATGGTGTAGATACAAAATACTGAAAGTCTCTGTTATTTCCTTATTGCCTTTTATTAATTCCAAGTCTCAGTCTCTAAGAGAGCAACGCTCACTTAAATCACTCCTTTTCTTGTTATATATTTGTAGAAGCTCTTTAATGTTCCAATCACCCCTCACATGAACCTAATTCTGTCACAACTTAGTTTAAAGCCTTGTCTATAGCCCGGGTTATACAATTCACAAGGACACTGGTCTGATAGTGGCTTGCATGAAGGCCATGCCAATGGTACAGCTCCTTCTTTCACCAGTACTTGTGTCAGTGCAAATGAATCGAAATCCTTTTCTCCCACATCAATCTGAGCCATGAATTCAACTCTCTGATCATATTTATCCAATGCCTATTTGCTCATAGCTCAAGTAATAATCCAGAGATTATTATTTTTGCAGTTCTGATTTTATTTAAGCTGTTGCTGCTCATACTCCCTTAGCAAAATGTCTTACTTATTCTTAGCTAGGTCTTCAATAACCACATGCACCACAACAACTGGATCCTTTGAATTCCACTCCAAATATCTCTCCTGACGACATGTCTTTAACCCTGACATTGGCCATATGACACCATCTTCAAGTCACTTGTTCTTGGCTGTAGGAAACAGTACCTATCCCTCAACAATATAGTTCCCCTTTGCAACTATGTTCTTTTCAATCCCCACAATGGTACTGTGGTCAATTTATTCACTCCACTCTGAAATCCATCCTATCATCCACAAGCTGGAAGAACATCAAACCTGAAGGACAATTTGCAAGGGCTGAGGATCCACCAGTGCTACCTTCTGAAGTGTTGTACTTACCTCTTTGACAGTCATACTTCCTTGTCCCTTACCACAGGCAAAAATCTGAGATATCTAGTTTCAGAGGTGTGACCATCTCCTAGAACAATGAGTACTAACAGGAAATCAAGTTGTAAATTATCGCATTCAATTAGAATAAACAAAAGGGAGAGGAGATAGAGTCTTTTTCAAGGGAGCCAAATCAAATGTGTTAGATATCCTTACTCAAATAAAAGCATAACACAGCAAATACTGGAAAATTGAAGTAAAAACAGATCATACTGCAGAAACTCAGAATGTGTGTGGAGAAAGAAAGAGTAAAATTTTTAATATTTTAAATATCTTCCCTGTTAAAGTAGAAGAGAGAGTTATGACTCATTTATCATGTTATGTGTTACAAACAACCAACAAAGGAGTTGCTGTTAACACATGGCCAGTGTGGGAAGTAAGCTAAAACCATATATATTAAAATAACCATGGCTGTGGATAATGTCTCCAAATAGCATGTGAATAAGGAACAGTAGGATGTCAAGATGAACCTTGGAGTGCAAAAATCAGGCAAGGTACAAAACAGCCCAGCAATTCACTAGCATCCTTTCATAACATAGCAATAATATTCCAAGTTACCTCCATCATCTTTAGCACAATATCTGGAAAAGTAGGCTTCACACCACAACTATTGATCTTTAAGTTAATTCTCTATGTTATTGATTATTAGTAGTAAAACCAATCAAAGCAGATTCAGAAGGGTAGACCCTGCCTGATTAATCTCAATTCACTTAAATAAATGACAACCCAAGAATATGGTAGTAAGTCCTACAATCAAGACTGATAATCCAGCACAGCATAGAAAGAGTGTATCACTGTCAGACATGCTATCTTTGAGATAAGGCACATAGAACAAAGTGCCATCTATTCTCTCAAGAGAACATATAAGATCAAACATCATAATTTTTAAAGCACAAGAGAATTCTCCCCATGTCACAACCAAATTTTTATCAATTAATTTCTGATTATTAGGTGATTATCACATCACTATTTGTGGGACATTATTGTACTCACATTACTTGGTACTTCAGACATTAAAATGATAAATACACTTAAACAGCACTTCATTAGCTGACAGGTACTTTGGTGTGTCCCAAGGTCAGAAGAAACCCCTGACCAATATTACCTAGAAGGTTGAAGACAGCAAACACATGGAAACCACCTGCAAGCTCTTCTCCAAGTCACACACCATCCTAACTCAGAACTACATCATTGTTTGTTCACTTTTGCTGGGTCAAAATCCTGGAATGTGCTACTAGTACTGTGGTGTATCTACATCCCAAGGACAGTAGCAATTCAAGAAGATAGCTCATCTCCATCTTCTTCAGGGCAACTAGAGATGGGCAAAAGCCTGGGCAACACGTTATTGTATGACTGAATAAAGAAAACCTCTTTTCTACACAAGGAATGATTTACCTGTGGAATTATGTGTAGTGGAGATGTAGCACTGGAGCATTTAAGAAGCAATTGGATCATACAAGGGGAAAAATTACAGAATTTCTCCCCAAGGGAGATTCAGTATAGGCCACACCTATCCCCTACACATTCTGTGTATGCTTGCTGTCATCCTTGTGCATATGCCATGTAGTGTGTAAAACGGAGACTAGACAATTCCTCAAGCGAAGTTTTAATCGCGAAAGAAAGTGTTATTTCCCAATCTTATTCTTTTCCCCAAAATAAATGATTATTTTGACCCCCTCAACTTCTCTAAGTATTTGCACGTTATACCATACCAGACTGGAAACACTCTTACTACTTTCAACTTCCTGAGAGTAAAGGACGTATCAAAACTGGCTGGATGACTATCCCAAGATTCTGCATTTTCAGGTGTAGCAGGCTGGCGCGCTAAGTACTCTGGGAATTGTAGTTCACAGCCGGGATGTAGTCGGGGTCAATGAGGAAGGTAGGGACTCCAAATCCCATAGTGCAATGGGCGTAGGGCAGGTAGGGTGTTGCCACGAGGGAGGAGCGTCTAGAACGTTCACCTGGATCTCCGAGTGATTGCAGACAGCTCGAGAGTGAGTCGGACAAAACTTTCAACTGTATACAAACATTACTGATGTGGACATCTATTTCCAGAGGAACTGTGTCTGACATTGATAGCATGGTAAGGGAAGGTTGCTGAGGGGGTGGGATGGGAAACGCTGTACTCCATTGTATTCAGCCGTTGGGAAGGTTATGACATTTCTTTTACTGGAGAAGTGAGCTTTAAATCCTAACATAAAGAAGCCGTGTCGTAGCATTGGGAACGACTTTTGACTTAACACTGCCGCCAATTTTGATGCGATTTACTGTTTGCACTCAAATGGGCTTTTTGTCTGTTTCGATTTGAAAAAGGAGCTGATTGAACCCCGTAAAAAGGGGACATATTTCACTGATAAATGCTGATCAGTCGATTGAAGCTAATTGTTGTAAATGTGGACGTTTCAAGTTTTTGAAACCTCAGTTTCGTCTAGTTTCTTTAGTCCACGCTTTCGGCAATTTTCCCTCATTGTCTTGCTCTCCCTGCCCGGAACCACTGATTTTTTTTTCCCCCAACATGATTTGTTTTTATTGAATGTGAACTACTTTTTCCCCCCCTTTTAAATGGCAACCTGATGTCAAAGGAGAAGCTGACTTATTCGTGGTTTTGGGGGTTCTTTGTTTTTGTGGAATATTCTGATTTCACAGCCAGGCTGAGTCATATCCTTTTTTGCAGCTCTTACTGATAGATGGGGAAAGGTTTGCAATCCAGAAAGGCAAGCTAAACCTTGAACTAATCGATAGATGAAGCCTGGGTTGTAAAAGTCTCAGTCGGAGAGGCACAGCCTGATAAAGAGTTTTGAAAGAAGAAAAGCAATTAGATGATGTAACAAACAGGATGAATAAAGGGGAATCTGTACGTATGAATTCAGATAACAAAATTACATTTGGTAATGTAAAACATTGCTACTTAAGGTAAGCATAATATTGAGAAAACATATTAGCATGGATGGAGAATTGGTTTCTTAATAGGAAACAGAGTCAAAATAAATGTTAGCTTTCTAACATTTGCAGCATTTTGTTTTTATCAGGGTTAAGTGTGATTTTTCAGATTGGTGGACTGTCCCCAGTACAGTGCTACAGGGATCAGCACTGAGGCCTTGACTAGCTGCAAACGCTGGAGCACTGAAACAAAAACAAGTTGCTGGTGAAACTCAATAGGACTGGCAGTGTCTGTGGGGAGAAAGCAGAGTTCATGTTTCAAATCCAGTGACTCTTCATCAGCACTGACAGCAACCAGGAAAAAGTAGTTTTTACGCTGAAGATGAGGTGAGGTGGGGAGGGGGGGGGGGGGAAGAGGTGGAGCCAGAGCATAGAAAGAGAGAAATGAAAGGGGTGGGCAGATGAGGGGATTATAAGGATTGTAGGCCTGACAGAAGAGAAGCTGAATAAATGATTGTGAGAACTGAGCCTAGGAGAGAATAGGTTGGCTGTGTTAGACCACCCATGTCATAGTAACGAGTATGGTGGTGGGTTTAAAAAAAAATGAAAGGGCAGAATCACGTGTGAAAGTTATTGAACACTGTGCTGAGTGCTGGAGGTCGCAAGGTCTCCAGGTGGAAAATGAGATGTTGTTCTTCAAGCTTGTGTTGAACCTCACTGGAACACTGCACCAGGCCTGGGAACATAGTGATGTGTTGAAGTGGCACCAGCTGAAAACTTGGGGTTACTTTTATGGATAGAACATAGGTGCTCTGCAAAGCTGTCACTCAGTCTGCGTTTTGTCTCCCTATTGTAGAGCAAACCACATGTGAACAGCGAATATAGTAGACTAGATTGAATGAAGTGCAGGTAAATCGCTCCTTCACCTGGAAGGCATGTCTGGGGCCTTGGACAATAAGGGCAGAGGCCAACAGGCAGGTATTACAACTTCTTCTGCAACTGAATGAGAAGGTGGCATGAAGGTGAGGGGAGGTGTTGGGAATGGAGGAAGAGTGAATCAGGGTGTCCGAGAGGGAACGGTCCCTGCGGAAAGCTGACGGGAGGGAAGGGAGATGTGTGTCAGGTGGTGGCATCCCACCAGAGATGGTGGAAATGGCAGATGATGATCCTTTGGATGCAGAAGCTGGTGGGGTGGTAAGTGTTTACCACGGGAACCTATTGTTATGGGAGGGCAGAGAGAGGGTGAGGGCAGAAATGTGGGCGTTAAGTTGGACACAGCTAAGGTCCCAGGTAATCCTCAGTTGAGGAATAAAATAGACATTTCCAAGAACATATGTGATAGAGTTGCCGAAACTGGGAGAATGGGATGGAATCCTTTGTAGGAAGCAGGATGAGAGGGTGTATAGTCAAGGTAACTGTGGAAGTCAATGGGTTTGTAGTGCATATTGGTGTACAGCCTGTCCCCGAGAATGGAAATGGATATCGAGGAAGGATTCAGAGATGGACCAGGTGTAGGCGAGGGCAGGGTTGAAATTGGAAGCGAACTTGATAGATTTTTCCAATTCTGAATGAAAGAGGGAAATACCACCAATGATGTCATTTGTATACAGGTATTTCTGCTATAATGCATTTTTTCATTAACACAAATTGGCTGTAATGCAACTGATGAATAGTGGATGCTGTTTGGATGATGTGCACTTTCTACTGTACAGTATAGCGTGAGGTCGCACAAGAATGCGACTATTGTGTTATCGGAGAACTACCTATACCAGAGAGAGAGTTGTGGGTAAGGATGGGATTAGGGTTGGAATAAGGAATGTTCTGTATATCCCACAAGAGATGGGCATTACTGGGTCCATGTGGGTACGCGTCGACGCACCTTTGACCTGAAGAAAGTGAGAGGAGTTAAAGGCACGAAGAAGGAGAGATTGTTTTACATATGGAGCTCCTGGAGGGGTCTACATGTGGATTGATCTGGAGAGAGACTTTTCTTAATCCAGAGATTAAAAGCTGGCAGTTGGAGGACTTGAGGAGGAGGGATTTTTGATTGTTTCAGCTAAGTGCTTGGTTTTTTTTTAACATTTATATTTCATTTTTAGTTTTTGCGTGAATAAGATTAAAATCTGTGGGTAAGAAAGGGTGGTTTAGTTTTATGTATAAGGTGTGATTGAGAGCTGCTTTTTAGGTGTAATGTCACTGAGGGTATTCAAAAGACAGAGTGTGATGACTAATAGATTTAGAGAAGCGATTACATAGCAGGATCAGTCAGATAGATGACAAGGTGCAGGGCTGGATGAACACAGCAGGCCAAGCAGCATCATAGGAGCAGAGAGGCTGATGTTTCAGGCCTAGACCCTTCATCAGAAAAGGGGGAGGGGAAGGGGGTTCTGAAATAAATGGGGAGAGAGTGGGAGGCGGATAGAAGAGAGGATAGGTGGAGAGGAAACAAACAGGTTGAAGAGGTGGGGATGGGGCCAGTAAAGGTGAGTGTAGGTGGGGAGTTAGTGAGGGGATAGGTCCGTCCAGGGAGGACGGACAGGTC